CCCGCCCCCCCCCGCCACAGCATCTCGGAGTGGCGGATGCAGAGTATCGCCAGGGACTCCGACGAGAGCTCGGAGGACGAGTTCTTCGATGCACACGGTAGGCGGGGCTTCCTGGCGAGGTGGGGTGGGGGAGGCTGAAGTGGGGATCCCTGTTCCTATAACACACCCACTACCTGCTGCGCTGGGTGGGCACAGAGGATGCGATGACGTCACCAGGAGGCCGGCTCCCCTGAGTCTGGGGTCGTGGGGGAACAGCTTTCTTCAGACCCCCCAAAGGACATGTGTTCAGACCAGTTGTCTCTTCCCCCATACGTGAATTTATTTACACGAGAAATATAACTTCTTCCAATTTGCTAACTTTCATACTTTTTTTGATTGGGTGAATGTACATCTGATGTAGACACTCGAGAACGCGCACGAGGCGGGACACGCGTGAAGCACCCACCTTGCAGCAGGTCCCAGTAAGCATGACGGGCACACATGTGACCCAGCTGTGCCGAGAGATGCACGCTCACGGGCCGGCCTGTGGCCTGCTGGTTAAGGGAGCCGAGTCCCACATGACCGGCTATGGGGTTCAGGTCCCGGCCCCACCCCGGCAGCTTGAAACACACAGCAGGCCCATTTGGGTGCATGCCCTAAATCTCAACAGTAGGGAAGATGAAGGGATTGTGGTGCAGCCATACCCCGGGGAGGGGTGCTTTCCTCCTGCCCCTCCCTGTCTCTCTCTGGCTGGCACATGCGCCCCCTAGCAATCTAAACAAAAAAAGAAGATGCAAGCACTGACACTCGCTTGGCACCGTGCCCATCCCCCTCAGGAGACTGGAGGGCCAGTGGCATGCACGGGGAGCTGGCCTCTGCAGGCAGGTCGCTGAGCTAGACGAGGTTCCTGCGGCAGGGACAGGCAGGGACAGGCTCAGGAGGGTGTGGCCACTCGCTGTCAGACCAGGGCCAGAGTCTTCTCGCACTGCGGTGGCCTGGCAGCGGAGGAGCTACAGCATCCTGGTTAACTGGCCAGCCCAAACGGGACAAACTCGGAGAGTCAGGGTCCGGGCAGGGCAGTGCCTGCGTAGCCCGTGGCCTCCAGGGTCTGGGACAAGTGGCACGTGGCTCCCAAGCTGGCCTCTGCACCAGGGGCCTCACCGAGCATGGGAAGGGCGTCTTGGCCCCTGGTAAGAGGAGACTACACATCTAATGCAGCCAGAGATAAAACAGGAAGAAACTGTAAGAGAAGGGGCAGCACAGAGGAGGTGCTAGGGCCGCAGCGTCCTGGAGAAACTGGCCCAGGGCCCGTCCAGTGCCCAGAGGAGGAGCTGGCATGTGTCAGAGCCTCAGGTCAAAGCAGACGGGTCCAGAAACACGAGAGTCGTGGGTGCAGCTTGTAGGGCACTTCTCACCACGCTGGGCCTCGGGGGACGCAGAACTTTCGGGAACAGGCCGGCTCCAGACCACAGTGGTCAGGTGCTATGAGTGGAAAGCCGGAGCCCACCTGCCTGGCTGGGTTTGAATCCTGGCCCTGGCAACTTGCAAAACATAGCGGGCACGTGTGCTGCTGTGTCCCCAATCCTGTGGGTATGGAGGGAAAGGACTGCGGCATGACCATGCCCCAACGGAAGTGCTTTCTCTCTCTTCCCCACCCCATGGCTGTGTGTGCCTCCTAGCAATAAAAATGTAACTGTAGGGAACCAGCAGTTAGCGTAATGGCTATGTCGCTGGACTCCCACGTAGTCAACCGCGGTTCGCGTCCCGGACCCGGTGGCTTAAAAACTCACGCCGGGCGCGTGTGCATGCGTGCCCAAGATCCCGAGAGGAGAATGGAGGAGAAGGGATTGCGGCGTGACCATCCCCCCTGGGGGGTGATTTCTCGCTTTCTGTCTCTAATGTCTCTGTCTGTCTGGCGAGCGCACGCGCCCTATAGTGAAAATCTCTCAAAAAAAAAAAAATGTAACTGTAAGAAAATTGGTTACACCGCTGGACTCCCATGTAGTCAATTGCAGTTCAAGTCCTGGACCCGGTGGCTTAAAACTCATGCCCGTGCATGTGCGTGCGTGCCCAAGATCCTGAGAGGAGAATGGAGAAGGGATTGTGGCGTGGCCATCCCCCCTGGGGGGTGATTTCTCGCTTTCTGTCTGTCTCTCTGGCAAGCACATGTACCCTATAGCAAAAATCTGTCTTTAAAAACAAAAAGAAACTTAAAGTCAGGATCGAGGCCAGCAGGTGGCGTGGTGGTTGAGGCACTGAACTCCCACAAGGCCTGCAGTTCAAGTCCTGGACCTGGTGTCTTGCTTTCTCACTACCCCTCTTTCTGTCTCTCTTGATGAGCACGTGTACCCTATAGCAAATTAAAATAACAATAATAATTTACATAATTCTTTAAAAACAAAACGTCAGCTCATCAGTGGAGCGGGTGATGGAAACGGTCTGTCCGTACAGTGGAGCAGGCTCAGCCCGGGAGGGACAGAGCACTGACGTGCCGCTAAGAGAAACAGGCTCCAAAGCATGATGGGAGCGAAGGCAGACCGCACGCACCACGTGGTCCCACTGACCCCACGTCCGGAAAGGCAGATGCACAGGGCCAGACGTGGATCGCTGGGGGCCAGGCCGGGCAGGCAGGGGTGATGACTGCCTGCTGGGGGCAGAGGAGCTCACCCAGCGTCGTGGTAAAGGCCAGCTTAGGAGTGTAAATGGGGAAACCTGTGTCTGACTGTTACGGTTTCATTATTTATGTCTTCAGTTTGCTGTAGGGCACCTGTGCTCGCCGGAGGGCGGGGGAGTGAGAAAGCGCCTCCCAGAGGGAATGGCCACACCACAATCCCTTCTCCTTTACTCTCCTCTCAGGATTTTAGGTGCCCACGCACACTCACCCAGCGTGATTTTCTTTCTCTTTCTTCCTTTTTTCGAGAGATATTTGCTGTAGGGCACATGTGTTTGCTGGAGAGACAGAGAGATACAGAGACAGAAAGTGAGACATCACCCCCCGGGGGATGGCCACGCTGCACTCCCTCCTCCATTCTCCTCTCGGGATTTTGTGCATGCACACACCTGTGGCTGGTGTGAGCTTTAAGCGGCCGGGTCCAGGACTTGAATTGCTGGACTACATGGGAGTCCAACGACGTAACCATTACGCCATCTGCTGGTCCCGCCCAGCATGATTTCATGCTGCTGGGACTAGGATTTGAACCACATTTGGCCATGTAGAATTCAGCGCCTTGGCCCGCCCCCTGCTGGCCCTAATGCTACAATATTTTTAAAGAGTCAGGAAGACGCCGGGTAGCTGTGGGACTGGGCACAGAGGGGCACTGGCCACAGAGGCTCAGGGTCCCTGCCCCTGCAGCCAGACCGACCTCCCTGCTAAGGCCCCCTTCCCCCTCCCAGAGGATCTGTCGGAGCCCGAGGACATGTTCCCTGAGGACATCAGCAAGTGGAGCTCCAACGACCTCATGGACAAGATCGAGAGCCCGGAGCCCGAGGACCCGCAAGGTAACCTGCTCTGGGTGGCACAGTACTGGACGCCGGGGGCTGCAGGCACACCTCAGCCCTGGGCTGCCTGCACACCCTCGGCCCTGGGCTGCCCGCACACCCTCGGCCCTAGGCTGTAGGCATACCTTGGCCCTGGGCTGCCCGCACACCCTCAGCTCACAGCACGGCTTCTGGTTGCAGACGGTCTGTACCGCCAGAGTGGCCCTGAGTTCCGGGTGGCCTCCAGTGTGGAGCAGCTAAACATCATGGAGGTGGGTGCCCGGGGGCGAGGGACAAGCCGTGCCACCCAGGCCCCGCGGCTGCTGGGGGAGGGGCAGAGGGACGGTCGGCAGGACCACACACCTGCAGCCTCACAACCTCGCTTGGCCTGGGCACTGTCTGGAGGGAGGCCACCCTGCTAGGAGGGAGCCCCGTTACTGTCTTCCATGTCCCCAAGAACCAGAGATTGCAGACAGAATCCCTGACAAAGGCCTTGGCCAGGCCCACGTAGAGAAATGGGAGGGGAAGCTCACACACTCCAGGTCAAATCAGCTCCTTGCCCCGTGGCCTGCCACACCCTGTGGCCAGCCTTACCCACTGTCCCTGGAGATGAAAAGACAAAGGGGAGAAAGTCTCCTTAGCAGAGCAGTGGGCAAGAAGTGGCAGGCATGGCTGCAGGTGTGCCGGCTAGTGGAGCTCAGCATATACAGCGAAGCCGGCTTGGCCGGGTGCTCCACTCGGGTTCTTGCCTGAGCTCACGCCCCCTACTCCACCCGTGGGCAGTCAGAGCTGTTTGCACTGGAGCCGGGAGCCAGGCAGTCCCTCACCAAGGTCCACGCCCTGCCCTGGGCTTAAGCTGCTGGGGCGGATGACACCCAGACCTACCTCAGCCTCCTCCCTGCCCTCTTCCACCAGCCCGAGTAACGTGGCCCTGTCGGGTGGGTGGTGGCTGGGAAGAGGCCCTTGTAGGCAGGGCCACAGCCCGGCTGCGACAAGGCTTGTGGGTGCCCGTGCACTTGACTCTGACCACTGTGACGCGGACCAGGCCGCACCTCCCACCCCCCCCCCCCCGCCCCCT